ATAAAGATTAGGGTGTAATGCATAAATATTATACAAAATTACAAAAATTTATATAATAGTTATTTTTAAATAAAGATTAAATGGAACAAATGGCCGCTACTGTATTATCGGTATATCTGATCAATATGATATATACACACCGTTGTGCAAATTAATTGAAACAAAACGAATAATTCCGTTATTTACTTTTTTCGGTTTTTTTTCCAATGAAACATGACCCAGTGCACATCTTATTACATCGTATGTCCATTCCACGAAGACGTTACTTGCAGATTAACCACAGCTACTCGATTGGATTTAAATCAGGAGAGTTTCGGGGCCAATCTATAGTACTTTCATTTGCTCACTGGTAAGGCTTGCCAGTGTGATCATGTACCGCTACAATTTTCGTACACTTCCTTGAAGCAACGTCCATTGCAGACAATGGCTGTAGGACAACTAATCGACAGTTGAGATGATAGTGTCAGGGTGTAATAAAATCTGATGCAATCACGGATGACGTAATATTTTTCAAGGCCAAACAAATTTCAACATACACCCTGAAATATTCATATTACTGCGCACCACTGCAAATGACCTAATCTGAGGAAAAAATATAAATCGATTGCACCCTGTCTCTCCAGTGGGTCTAAAACTGACCGTATGGTGAAAGAAAGGAAACTAAAGCGGTTGAATTAATTGCTTTGTGCAAGGGTGTAGATCGGATCAAAAATGGAAAATTGATGGAGCAGTCCATTCCTCATATTTAAGCAGTGATGGTGTTCAAATACGTTTACCCGTCATTGTAGGTGGTGAATTATAATTTCCCATCCTAAAGCCTATTTTCCAAGGTCGAAACGTCGCAAGCATATTTCTCCTCCATCGCTATTTCCATGAAAAAATGTTCGGACGAGCAACATTCCATAGTCCCAGGTGTTCAGACCTTTGCATCTCAGATCGGCGTTGCTACTTTCAACAGTTCACATTTTACAGCTAGGACCCGCGAAGCTATATAACCGATATTGAACTAATGGTGTTTAAATATTTTAAAAATTAGTCACTTTCGTTGCAAGACCATCTCTATCAATATTTCTATGGCAATTCTTCAAACGAGCTACATTCCTTAGTTCCACCAGTTCAGACCTTCACAGCTAAGCCACTCACTAATCTATCACTATTTTTATGGCAAATGTTCAAACGACCTACATAACTTGTTCCACCAGTTTAAACGTTTACAGCTAAGCCTCTTGCTCCTCTGTCGCTGTTTCCATGGGAAATGTTCACACGAGATACATTCCTTAGTTCCATCAGTTCAGACCTTCACAGCTAAGTCTCTCTCTTCTCTATCGCTATTTCCATGACAAATGTTCAAACGATATACATTCCTTAATTCCACAATTTTCAGATGTTTATCGCTAAGCCTCTCCCTATTCTATCGCTATTTTCATGGCAAATATTCAAACGAGATACCTTCCTTAGTTCCACCAGTTCAAAGTGAAGTAAACTTTTCCTCTTATGACTCTTTGGAACTTGATCCCCAGGGAGGTCAAACATCTAATAACCGTGTCTTTTGTAGAGCCACAAATTTTGCGTTAACGCTTGCCGACCACAAAGATGGACACAATTCTTTTTTCAACCCTCTATACCTCCTCGAGATCTATCAAGAGCCCATCTCCTTTGATAAGATGTGCGTAGCTCTTGACTCTCTCGAGGAACTCCGTCATGTCGATGATTTTTTTTTATTTTGTCCATTCGTGGCTTCCATACTTTTTCTTTTCTATTTTTCCTTAATTTTTATTTTTTTTTTTTTTTTAATGGCTACTCTCTGCAGCCATTGTTCATCGGGGAGAGGGATCTTTCTTCTTCGACACCTGAACAAGTCTTCTTTAATCGTCCGACGTTTGTCGGCCATTTTTGTTTACATTTGAAAAAGAGCTTCTTTTTTAAAACCAGAAAACAGAGAATTTTCTTTAAAAGAAGAAAAAATTTAAACATCAGAAATAAATAAATAGCAAAACAAAATAATCTTAAGCAAATGCACAAAATAAATTTAACAAAACGAAAAATGAAACAAAATAACAGACAAAAGCCGGTTTAAGGAAAACGTTTTGACGTGAAAAATAAAAGCTTACTTTAAATATATATATATATATATATATATATATATATATACACAGATTAAAACAAAATCCTTCTACAAAGAAAAGGATACAAATTTAACAATGTAAAAAACGATAACAAAAAGACAGGCGAGAAACATTTGACGTGTAAACGAAAAGAATAAAATTATTCAAAAAACTAAGTTAAATAAAACAACGTAAAAAGGTTTCATTTTCTTTTCTTTACAACTACAAAAGGAAAATTTAAACAGAGACACGTGTAGAATAGTAAAAAGATACGTCTAGAATAATAAAGTCTTACCAAACAAAAATGGCCGACGTAACACTAAACTAAAATGAAAAACAAACAGATTAAACAATAAAGAAATGGAGAAAAAAGATACAATAGAAAAAAATTACACTTGGCATGCGAGTAAAAATTGAAATTTGGACACAAAAATCAGTGAATGAACTAAGATGTAGAAAGTTAAAATCAAAATATTAAACAGAAAAAGTTATACGATAAAAATGTAGTTTACTGGCATGGGTTGAAAAATGAATGAAAGATTAAATACAATTTATACGAGAAATAAAATTAAATCAATAGTCCATTGAAAGTAGATGTTATATTAGCAACAAAAAATAAAATATAACTCAGAGAATGTGAAGAGTGAAAAAAAAATATTAAAATAAAAAACGAAAAAGAAAATTCGGAAAACTTTCACACAAAAGCGTAAGAAAAATTAAAGGTAAACTTAACGAAAAATTGACTGTTCATCAAACAAAAAAATACAAATGTACGTTCCACTCGGTGGAGCGACAAAATCTCGTCCGGCGCGTGGCGAGACTTGAAGCTGGTCTGTGAAAACGAACTATCCTCATACAAAAATATCAAATAGGAAAACTCACTAGAACAATTAACGTGAAAGTAATTGTAGAAGATGCAAAAGTGACTGAAGCCGATAACATTGCAGATTATTATTTGGATCACTAATCCCGTTATGAAAGACATCAATCAAGTCTCTTCTACAGGTTAAATATATAAGCAGACTAGGCACTCTTGCCTTGGTTGGAAATCAGTATAGGAGAAGAAAAGTCAAAATTCAAATCTGTGCAAAAGGCAACGGGAAAACAACCCTCAATGTCTCTTAGTAATAATTATGGGTATGTACTTAAAAAAGAAAGCTGTGAAGAGCCATTAACTTCTACATTTCGAAGATATGCCATATAAAAATAACTTAAGTGTCTCTTATATTATCTCATCGCCCCGTAGCCGTCTATCAGCCTATATATACTGACGACAGCCCCTTCTAAATCGAAAGTGTGCCATATCCCTGAACGTGGTTATTCCACATTAAGGTGAATATATTGGGTTGGTGCATAATTATCAGGCGTTTCAAAACTATATTTATTATGAAAAAAAGAAACATAATAATTCAACAATAACATTTTTAAATGATTATTATTACCCCGTTAAATGGTGCACAATTATCAGACGTTTTTTTTTAAAACAAATATAAACAACATTTGAACAATAAATGTCTTTTATATCTTTTAAATGGTTATACCGAAGCGTATGAATATTGGCAGGCATTTTTTTAACATGAAAATAAAATAATATTTTTATTAAAATAAAATGATATTTTTATTAAAAAAAAAGTAAACAAAATAACAATTTTTTTATTAACAAATAATTCGCCTTCAAAAACGCCTGATAATTATGCACCAACACAATATAAAACCTGAAATAAAGAAATTTGAGAAATTTAATAAAAAATTTGATAGACAGAACGTCGATATTATTTATTTGAAGTTTATTATTATTATTATTATTATTATTATTATTATTATTTGAAGTGATTGTTCTTTATTATATTTGGCTGGTGCATAATTATCAGGCGTTTTTTAAACAATATTTATTATGAAAAAAAGAAACATAATTCAACAATAACATTTTTAAATGATTATTCCGGAGCGTATGATTATCGACACGCATTCTTATAATATGAAAATAAAATAATATTTTTATTTAAAAAAAAAAGAAGTAAACAAAACAGCAGTTTTTTTATTAACAAATAACTACAAAAACGCCTGATAATTATGCACAACCCAATATTTTTACTATAGTCATTAAACCCAATCAGACGAACTAAAACAATAAGACACAATTGAATAAAAGACAAGTCATTCAAATATGATCTATGCGTGACTGAGCTTCCATAAACCGTGAAGGCAGAACGTTGACGAATTAAAATCAGTTGGCGCCTCGTTAGTTTTATTGCTTCCATAATTCATTTTTTTATATTTTAGTTTATTTTTCTGTCGTCATATCCTCCTGAAAACTATTATTATGTTGGGCTTTCTATTTTCGCGATCGCGTTATTGCCATTAGCATTCCCAAACAATACATTTTAGCCTTTGTCCTCTTCGAGAAAACTCGACGGTGAAAAATATACAGTCATTAACAAAAGTTTATCGATTCATTGATTGATTTGTTGTTTACGGATTATCGTCTTATTTGCAGGTTATTTAAAGCTAGAAAATATTTTTAGATTTTAAGAGTTTTTTTTTTTTAGAGATAATAATGATTCATTATTACAAGTCTATTAATAATTAACCCATAGCTGGAGGGAAAAGTTGTAGATTCATACTTTTTAATTGATTGATTTTTACGGCTTGTCAACCTTTTTGCGGGTTATTTAAAGCCAGCAAATATTTTTAGATTGTAAGAAATTTTGGCTGATAATAATGATTGCCCTACTAATTAACCCATAGCTGGAGGGACAATATATGGATTCATACTTTTTCCAACGTTATTTGTGCATAAGTGAATACAACAAATCCAACTGTAATTAGAACTAGCCCCTTCGATTTCCAATTCCAAGCTGTTATCTATTACACCATCCGCACATCCAAACATACACAACCTTGTGTTCTCAAGCGGTCACAATTTTAGGTACTGACCAGGCTCAACGTTGCTTAACTTCGGTGATCATACGTGAACCGGTGTTTCAGCGGGATTTGTAATTTATAAGATTCTGAGTCTTAAACCTTACTTTCCTGATGATGAGTTCCTCCGCTGCAGTTTGCTAGGCTTAACTGCATTCAGTAGAACTTTTCTCTTTTGTGACAGTCACTGCTGCTGTTGAAGATTTGTTGTCATGTCTCTTGCTTTATTTATTAGATTTGTTAACTAAGTTAACAGTATTAAAATTAAAAAAAATAAAATAAACGAAATATTCCTTGTTAATAGAACGAGAAGAGTCTAGCCCAGTAGCATAAATAAATAGCTCAGTACGGAATTCCCTGTACGCAGACCGATATACACTTGATGAAGGCCGGAAGACACAACAGACAAAGCATTGTGATGATAACAAAGATGCGGTCTATAGTTCGAATGCAAATAATGTAAATAATGAGTGTACCTTATCCCAGAAATCTATCTATCTATCTATATCTATATATATATATATATATATATATATATATATATATATATATATATATATAACGATTGCTCCTCATCCCAGAAATATATATATATATATATATATATATATATTTAAAAAAGTTGGTCAATATATATATATATATATATATATATATATATATATATATATATATATATATATATATATATATATATATATATATATATATATATATATATATATATATATATATATATTATATATATATATATATATATATATATATATATATAGAGATAATAAAAAAAAAAAAAAGGAAAGACAGAAACATAATACGAAACAAGGTCGTAAGCGAAAACACACACGTTCGACCGGCACATGTCAATCAATGATTGTTTCTCATCTCAGAAATATATATATATATATATATATATATATATATATATATAAATGTAAATAATTATTGTTCCTCGCCTCAGAAATTAAAAAAAAGAAATAACGTAGGATTTTTTTTTATCTCTACAATTAATTTTGTTGTTATAGGTAAGAAATCGTTAGAAACTGTCGAGATTTCAAGTCCGCTGTTTAGAGAAAGAGTAGGTAGAAAAACTATAATGGCAATTGTTAGCATTTGAAGCGAAACTCGGCGAAGAAAGAAAGAAATGATAACGAATTCTCACTTGTTACCGGTGTAGTCTCGCGGTGGAAATCATTTGTATAAAAAGAATTGCAACAAAAACGCTACATCTTGCCTATAATTAGTTCTTGTAGAAGTAACGTTAAAAAAAATGTTAAGACTCTTATTAAAAGTTTTGGTAACACTTCTCGTCAGCTTTGAAAGACGGAGCACGATCGTAACGAAGGAAGAAGAAAAAAATTAGTGCTACGACTTTGACAGCCATTTTTTTTCCACTTCAATCCGAGGGTGTCAACTGTAATCATTACAATAAATTCATCATTCATTCCTTTCCTTTCGTCTGTCTTTCCTTTCTTCGTCATCGCATTTTTTTTTTTTTTTTTTTTTTTTTTTTTGTACCGCTTTTTCCTTTAGTTGTCTATCCTTCCTTTGGTGCCATCGTTTTCGTTCGTTCTCGTTCTATGTTTCATTCTTTCTTTCTTTTAGTTGTTTTCTTCCTTCTCTGTAAATTTTAGTTGAACTCGCTCGATGCAATCACTAGTTTTACGCTAACAGTTTTCTTTTTGCACTTCTCACCTGTGGAACTCACTCACGATTTCTTGCTCCCCTTCTTCATTATGTGCCGTGTCCCCATCAGGACGTAGGCGGTGATGGCTCTCCACAACTTCCTGCCCTTTTTAGCACTTTATAAATGTGGCACCCTGCATAATTAGAAAACTGAAAAGAGATATTCATAAATATATGATTTAATTTTTTCGGTTTGTTAACCCTTTGATAGTTATTTAGAGATGAGAAATATTTGGGTTTTGAGAATAATTCTCTAATAACATTTAGGCGATCCGAAAGAAAGAAAGGGAAAGAAAAAAAAAGGGAAAGAGAAATAAATAGTACAAAACCCGGTCATAAGCACACACGCTTAAACTGACACATAACAGGTGTCAAAAGATATCCAGGTCAAAGTACCTGACCGAAATCCACGGAAAATGGAAGTTGTTATAAATGGTTGAAGAAATAGAGTTTAGAGATAATAAAAAAAAAAAAGGAAAGACAGAAACATAATACGAAACAAGGTCGTAAGCGAAAACACACACGCTCGACCGGCAAATATCAAATGTCAAAATTATCAGGTCAAGCACTTGATCTAATTCCGTGTCCGCGTAGGATGGAAGTTTGTTAAAGTTGGCTGAAGCAATAAAATTTTAGGAACAATGAAAAAATATTGATAAGTGACAAACGAAAAGGGTGTCATTGAGATGATGGGTAACAGATGGGAAATGTATACGAAAACAGGGCATTAATGCACGAGGCCCGGACACTTTCTGGGGTTGGAGAAAAAAAAACCACCCAAAGTGAAAATGCTTTTTTTGAGATAATGTAGATTTTATGATCGGCCAGAGAAAAATGGAATATTTGTATTAGCTCGCGACAGACGCCGACAGGCCTGGAAAAATTCCTTAGTAGATCGCATCCAATTAGCGACAGGCTGTTTTGATAGATGCCACGTGTGGAAGGGGTCGATATCGTCATTTTCGTACGAAAAGGACAATTTAAATTTTGTTTTTTTAAGCAAGGTGTTTCTTCCCCCAGAACAAAGCCCCGGATTGTACACGCCCGATTGGAGACGTCACGAAGGAAGAAAAGATACCGACCAGAGTCTCATTTTCCGAGGACAGTCACATGATACATGAGGGAGGGAGGAGACACCTGACCAGAGTCTCATTGGCCGAAAGGGTCACGTGATGTGCGAGGAGGAGGAAAGATGCCGACCAGGACCCCATTTGTCGAGAGCGGTCATCTGACACACCCCAGAGGCACAGTGAGGAAGTAGGAGTGAAAGTAAGAGCGATAATGGGAAATCCTAATCAGAAGTAATACGACTTTAGAATTATCAAGAAAACCTGGCGCCGACAGACCCACCCCAGTTTGTTACGGCGTCAATAAAAGCAGGACCCCAATCGACAGAAATCAGTTGGAGCTGGGCCGCGGACAGCGAGAGGCTTGAGCGCGGGCGGCGGGCCCGGTTCATTCGCCCCCTTGCGGGCAAGAGAATCCGAAGTGAAGAAAATTGCCCGGAAGCCGAAGAGAAGTTGCAGTTGCAGTTGCAGTTGGAGTCGGTGTTGCGCCTCGGACGAAGAAGAAGTTAAGTGGCAGTTGCGCCTCGGAGAAGTTGGAATCAAACCAAGCCTAAGAAGAGAAATTCGTCCAACCCAAGTCGAAGTGAAGAAATTCGTCCACCTCAAGTCGAAGTGAAGAAATTCGTCCAACTCAAGCCGAAGTGATTAAGCTCGTCCAACTCAAGCCGAAGAGAAGAAGTCGATTCGCGCACTGACGGCGAGAAAAATCAGCCGTGAACGACAGGTAGAGATCAGCGCCCAGTGTCGAAACCAATCCACACCCCGAAATGCAAATTTCTAGAGAGCAGGCAACTCGAAGCCTTAAAGTTGTATGGTAGAAGCTTGGTGCCACAGTCCACAAAACGGGTCGGGAGGTAGGAATAATTTTGTGTAACGAACATTTAGATATAAAAGGTTGTTACCTTTTTCTTCAATAATTTTTGACCTTGTGAGTTTTTCTTTTTCTTGTGTGTTATCACCCCCGTTGAACTCAGCTTGCATACGGCCCCAATCCCTGTTTGATCCCGTCTGTCTAAGATCTAATCACAACGTGGGTAGGCAGACCGGAGATCAGTGCAGTTACCCTAGTAACCAGGCGTTGGAAGCGAGTTGGGAACGGCGAGGCTGGTAATCATCTAACCAAAGGGTTAGAACGTCACACTTGGAGCCGCGAACGAGATCGAACGACAGAGTCGACGCTGCGACCAGGGGGGGAGAACGTCACATAAACTTTTCGTTTATTTCACCTAAGCGCTGTTCTGTCATATATTTATTCAAACTCATTATGTTATATGTCTGTCACTTCTGCACTCCATGTGTCCTGTGAGTATCAGATTCTCCCTCTTACCTCATAATATGCCTTCGAAACCTCAACTGTCTGCCTGGTGTTAAGTATTAGTTTCCTTTTAGATTCCATTTTTCCCCAACCTTCGTAGTTACACACATGTTTGGTCCATGACAGCTTCATCATCCTTCTGTAGAATCCTTCTATTGCTTCAAGTCTATTCTTCATCTTTGAGGAGATTGACCAGCACTCACAGCCATACAGGTGAACATATATCATATAGCCGTTTAATATTCTTTTCCTTGTTTCTAACGAAATTTTCCTACTTCTTAGTACTCTGCTTTACTTTTGAAATGCTTCTTTGGCTATCCCAATACGTCTTCGGATCTCAGTGTCACTCTTTCTGCCCTCTGTTAAATCACTTCCTAGATATTTAATTTTTTTTACTTGTTTGATTTTTGTATCTTCTATGTGCATCCCTGCATTCTACCTTCTTGCAGTTAATGTTTAATGCTTTCTTTTCGCTTTCCTTCACTATCTTCTGTAGGAGTTTTTTTTTATAGCTTTCTTTCTGTGTCTGCTATCAACACTATGTCATCTGTATATCTTATATTGTTAAGATTATGGCCGCCAATAATGAATCCGGGTAGGACTTCTAGTTCTCTCAGTTTAAACTCTATCTGAAAATTTCCTATTTCTTAGTACTCTGCTTAGCTTTTGGAAGTCTTCTTGGCTATCCCAATACGCATTCGGATTTCAGTGTCACACATTCAGTCTTCTGTTAAAATATTTCCCAGATATTTAAATTTCCAAACTTCTTTCATTTTGGTACCTCCGATTTAGAATTCGCCTCTAGGACTCATCTTTTTTTGCTAACAACCAAGAATTCTTTCTTTTTGAAGTTGATGTATAATCCTTTCGACTCGCTTTCCCTCATTATCTCACAAAGTGGGATTGATACCTTGCGACCTACAGTCTTCAAAAATTTTAAACCAACGTCAATCGTTATCTTCTGTCATCTTGAACCTCGCTGATTTATTGTCCATTCTTC